TGGCACTGCTCACTGCCTGGCCGGCAAAGCAATGCGGGTTCGAGTATTCCATGGTCCATGGGTAATCTGAAGAGACTCTTGACAAAAACTCGGGTGTGAGTCTAGGAGTCTGGAAGTCCAGGAACCCAGAATTTATAACACCAGCATGGTTTGGGCCCTTCCGTTCAAAGATACTACCAGCCCTTATCCAAGGCAGCTTTGTCCCATAGATTAGGGAGCTCCAAGGTGGCCGTCCAGCTGCTTGATTCACGTGTCACCCGGCACTGAAGGTGCGACGGGAGTGCAAAAGGCCGCGTGAGGATTGTCCGGCTGTGAGGTTCCACGACAAGCTCTGCATGCCCCAGTGCAAGCTTTGGAAGCTGGATTTTGGGCTTCTGTTTGGAGCCTTCCCAGCGGGGTGAGAAACAGGGAGGGTCTGGAGATTGGTTGCAGTGGCTCAAGAGCTGGCGCAGTGCCGGGCCACGGGCAGGGCTAGCACCCATGCCCCGCATTTGGTGGCTGCTGCTGCTGCCACTGCTGGCGGAGGGAGATGCCTGCAAGGATCGAGATGACCGATGGGCGGTGCATGGCAGCAGTTGCCGGAAGATGGCCAACATGTGCGATGACGCCAGCTACGGCGAGCTCGTGCAGGCCTGGTGCCCGGTGACCTGCAACCGCTGCAGACCGGAGGACTGTGCGGTTGAGATCTGCGCGAGCCGACGCGAGAATATGTGTTCCTCACGAGTTGGCAACGGGACTCGTGACTAACAATGTTGGCATCCGGGCTGTTTTGCTTGTCCTTGTGTTGCCCCATAGAATTAAATCGGATCTTGTTCTTGCGCGTCATGAAGCTATCATATCTATCCATGGGCGTTTGCAGACAACAATTGCAAACATATTTTTGATCAGACTTTTATTCGTTAGAAGAATCTGACGCTATGGGAGTTGGCAGAAATAAAGAGTGCACAGTAGGACACGTCGAGCGGTTTTTTGTGGACCCCTCACTTCCTTCGAAGGGAACTTCCTTCAGGCGCCTTCCCCACAGGTGCGATTGCTTTGGCTCGCCGCGCTGGTTGCCCACAAGAACCCGAACCCAAAACACTGTTCCGGACCAGGGGCCCCTCCACAAAAATGCCAAAAGAAGACAGCCCTACAGCCGTAGCTGCATTTGGAGTTAATTCTAGCAAAGCCAGACTGGGAATCGTTTCCCAATTTTTCGTTCCAGAAGAAGTATTTTCTCCAGATCAAGTTCCCATGAAGATGTTGTCTTGAAGTGGGTGTGGCTCACAATCAAAGATCTCCAGTTACGCAGTGTTTAGTCTTTGTTTCCATTTATCAAGGTGCTATCTTGGCCAAGCGATGTCGTTCCTTTTCCCAGGACACTGTGAAGGAGAGCCAGGTGACGCGCCAGGTGAGCAACGTGACCAACGAGACCGCCAACCTCACCTGCCCGCTGAATGCCACCAACGCCACGCGGCCTTTTCGCTGGCCGAAAGCCTTAGGGGCCATGCCCTGGCCCCAGCGACCCGAGCGGCTGAGGCCTTGGAGTGGAGAACCTTTCACCTTCGAAGTTTTGGGCAAGGAGACCTTCAGTCTCAGCCTCCCAGAGGCAAAGGTCATCAATGCCACCTATGGGACGAGCAATGGAAGCAATGCCAGCAATCTCAGCGATGGCAACGTCAGCTTCAACACAATCCGTGCCTATGCAGACGCGTTTGGCCATGTGAGTGTCGCAACTGAGGAGGAGAAGCAGTGCCCAGAGGGCTGGGAGCGGGTCATTGGAGACGTCTACGGCGGAGACCAGTTCACCGGCGGCTGGAAGCACTCCGCAGAGTCTGTGGAGGACTGCGCGTGGCGCTGCCTCCGGCAGCCGGGCTGCGGATCTTTCGAATGGAGCGAGACCAAGAAGAAGTGCTACCGCAACAGTCAGACGAGGCCCACTCACACGGAGGACAGACAGGACTTCCTGTTTTGCCGGCGACAGCCGTGTCCCAGATTCAAGACAAAGGAGGCGTGCGTTGGGCCTGGAATTGCCACTGGCTACTACTCCAAGGAGGTGAAGATGCGGCCTGGGAGCTACTGCATTTGGTCTGGTGGCCACTGTCAAGCGCCCATGGCGTGCACAGACCACGACTGCTTCCTGCCCGACGGTGGCTTGCCTGGCATGGAGCTGCCCAGTCACTCCACGCTGTGGATCTCTCGACTCGGATTGCAGGCGAGCATGGGCAGCATGGGAGGCTTAGGCCAGGCCCAGTGACAGCGCGCGCTTTCGGCCTTGTACATAGTCAAAACAGAGGCTGCAACGCGAGTTTGGAGAAAAAACAAGACGATGCAATGAGTAGATGCCACGGACACAGACCAGCATGTGTTCGAAGTGTAGGTCTCAGCTAAGACTCATGCCGTGCAACCCAAACATCCAGCAAGGTCGGAGGCGAAATCTTGAAGCGCAAGAGTTTCGCCTGTCCCAGGAAGCGAGGCCCATGAGGGCAATGAAGGTCTTGGAAAGCCCGCCCCATCTTCTCCCAACTATTGCTGTTGCTTGACTGTGCATATGTGCATATATTGTACAATATATACATATATATGTATATATATATATATATATGGTGCCCCCCCCCCCCCCCGCCCAGTCGACCTTTTTGTCTGTCTTCATCTGTGATACCCACTGAATCTGACTCTGCAAAAGGGAAAAAAACTCAACCGTTTAAACCGGTTGAACCCTTTCTCAAAGGAAAGGTGTGGGCCCAAAACCATTTGAACCGTTTATATCGTTTAAACCCTTTCTCAGGGAAAAGGTCTGGGCCCAAAACCGTTTAAACCGTTTAAACCCTCTCTCAGAGGAAAGGTGTGGGCCCAAAACCGTTTAAACCGTTTAAACCGTTCAAACCGTTTGAACTTTTTGAACCCTCTCTCAGATGGAACCTTGGGGGGGGGGGGCTTTCATTTGAGAGAGGGTTGAAATGGTTAAAACGGAGGCCTTGGGGGAGGAGGGTCTTTCCTCTGAGAAAGTCTTTAAACGGTTTGGGGCCCAATTGGGGGGGGCTTTCCTCTCAGAAAGGGGGAAAATGGTGCAAACGTTTTGGGGCCCTGACTCTCTTCTTGTCTGTTGTTTTTGGGATCTTCTGACTAAACCTCAGTTTAAGAATAGGACAGAGGTAGATCCAAACCGACTAAAATGTCATTCGGGCCTGGATTCAAGATTCGCTAGAAAAGTTTTTAACCTGAAGCTTGCAGATTGTCTTTGGACATGTGCTCTTATTTTGCTGCTTTCCCAATCCCCAAAAAGTAGAACACACTGCAAATATATCTATGAATTCTGAAAACGTAATCTAAATAGGGTCTCCTTTTCAAAGTTTATGTCAAATTTGACATCAAAGGCGGTCTCTTTCTCTTCTTTTGAACTCAATAATGACATACTCCTAGTAGGATGTTCCAGTTTAAGGAGAATCTAAATAGGCTTTCCTGTTCAAAGAAGATGTGTAATAAATCCAATTAAAGCCCTTCTTTTGAGACAAGCCTCTCTAAAATATCGTTAAAATCAGACACTCTACTAGAATTCTGTCATTATGATCAAACAATAAAATTGAAAACGATTCAAAGTATATTTCGATTCTTTCAGTTTAGATTCCAAAGGGGGGTTCTTTTTCTATCATCGTGTATTCAGTTCTCTATAAAAGTTGAGTGGAGTTTAGTCAGGAATAATCCTAGTACGATTGCTAGTTTAGAGCGAATCTAAATAGGTGCCCTTTTCAAAATCGAATGTGAAGTTGGAATTTATATCATATTCTAGTTGTATTGTTTGATCAGACATATAAGGACATATGTCTAGTAGAGTGTCTAGCTTTAACACTAATTTAAGTCGTGTGTTAAAATAATATTCTTAGTTGCGGGTATCTTTTTCTAGGATTGAGATGTCCAATGAATTTAGACACATTGACAGTGAAACATCTTAATATAATGTCTAGTCTTAAAGATGATGCAAATAGGATTTCCTGTTGGAAGAATGTAATTAACTGTAATGCTTACTTCAAATTAGATTTTTAAGAGGACGTTCTTTCCCAGGATGTGTGTTTTTCCCTCTAATTAGAATCTAAATATAATTAGATAAGACACCTTTTTCTGTTTCCCCAAACACAAAAACAACAGGCATAAACACCGCAAATAGCATTGACACCAACAAAATGGCGAACATTGGGGGGGGGGTGGTAGCATAATATATATATATATATATCTACATACACACATGTATTATCAAAGGAAGTTAAGAAGAGCCTTCCGTAGTACTGGAACTAATTGAGCTCTCGCTAAGAATGCATGCGTACGCAACGCGATCTTTAAGACTCTAGATAGAAGAACAAGCTACAAAAAAGCTGGAAAGCGCGAGAAGTGGGGAATAGAAGCGGGCCGAAAGCATGGCTTTGTGCGTAAATTCAGCTGGTCTGTATGTGCGCAAGCTAGGGTTCAGAGCGGCCTCGGAGCGCCTTCAGCACGCTGCTTCGCGGCTTTCAATCGAAGGGCCCTCTGCGCACCTTGTGTGGGCCGACCCTCCAAAACTTGTGGTTTTTTACAACTTTCACTTTGTGCCCACAACCCTCACCCAGCGTGCTTGCGCGGGGTCGACCTCAAGAAGCTCGTGTTTGTTCTTGCGCTTTTCAGCCTTTGCAATCACCCCTCTGTGGACTTTCGTTAAGTGGACCCAAGAAACTCGTTGCTTTCCGCGCTCTTTCACTTTTGTGGGCTCGAGGGAGAGAGAGGGCGAGAGAGAGTGAGAGAGAGCGAGAGAGAGAGAGAGAAGTGGGAAAGAAGCATGCGTTAAACAACTATAGTTCTCGTATTTTGAAACTTCCACCCCTTATCTGCCGGACCTTACTAGTATGAAGATACATACATATAAAACAAATATATATACACATACACAAGTGTGTGTGTGTGTGTGAGTGTGTGTGAGTGTGTGTGCGTGTGTGCCTGACCCAGTCTGAGCCTGTATCCCTGCATTTCCCGCGTGAGTGCTGGAAGCTGAGGTCTCAGTCGTTGGAGTCGGACATCGTCCTTTGGAATTCCATCGCAAGCGCGGCCTATGATGGTGGCAGGCCGGGCGGTGTTACATTGGTTCAGTTGTGGGGACTGTTCAGAACATGTGGGCGTGTCTTTTTTGAGGGTATCTTTTTTGGGCTGGCTTTGGGAAAAGACACGAAACTCCAAGTTGTTTTGTTCCCCCCTTTTAAGACACCCCATTTGTGCCATTTGGGTGGTCGGGATTGACAGGGTAGCCCCTTACTGGCTGTACTGTCTCAGGTGGCTGCTCAGCTTGGCTGTGCTAGATGCAGCCCCGCAAGTGGCGCTGTTCAGAGCTCAGGAGACGGTTGGGCAAAAAGTGTCAGGAAGTCAAGGAGGAAGTCAACCGCTCCGAAGGGGCGGTTTTCAGAAAGAATTCCTTTGGTTCATCGTTTTGTGCGTGTGCGTGAGGGAACGGGACCGATTCAAGCATGGGATTGAGGCAGCTTATGGTCAGAGGCACATTCCGTTGCATGACATGAGCTCAGCCACATCATGTTTGTTGCCATCGCTTGTGCAGTCCTATGAAGGTGTTTGCGATTCGGCTCCACAAGTATCCCGCAGACGCATCTCTTAATTTGAGTCACGCAATGGTTCTGGAGGAGCGGCTAGAATATGAGCTGCTGTTTCTGGACCCAGCCTGCTGCCTCTTGATACAGCAGATCTCCACGAGCCGCCTGATGCTGCGAGACTTGAGATGAGCGACGCGTCAGGAGCGGGACATGGCGCCGGATCTGTTGGTCTCGCAGTGGCTGAGCGTTTGCCAAGCAAGCTAAGCCTTGCATACCAGTTCATGCCCTGAATACAGCAAGTCCAAAGATTTCGCTTCGGCGCAAAACCAAACACCCTTCAAGTCAGAAGCATCTGGATTTTCGATGCCAAACCGGCCCAGGCTCGGTTGGCCTCAAAGGGCAGATGGGTGTGCCGCATGTGCCAAGCATGCTGTGTGGGAAGTCATTGAAGTGCAGACCTTTCGAAACCAGCTGGAACTCGAGCTAAAGAGATGGACAGCTGACGGCTGCGAGCTTGCCTTTGACTAGCCTTTGATTATCCTTGGCACACACATGTTCCTTTTTGACCATGGCAGTGTGCTTCCTGCATTGGCCTAGTAGGAAGCTGGAGTATTGGCAGCGTATTGGCAGATTGGCTAACCTTTCTTTCTTGAAAAGTTCTGCTCAACGTGGCCGAAACCTGGGTCAAAGAGCTTGTTAAGACTATGAGTGATAATCGCGACAACTGTGTCTTGAAGTTTCGAGTGGAACATCTTATCAGAGCTTTGGATGTGAATCTTGTGATGTCAACCGCTTTCGGCCTGAGCTTGTCCAGACACATGGGAGAACAGCTTCGCCCTGGACGAATCAGCGCATTGCTGTAGCCCTGCAGCTCGTTGCCAGAGCTCCGGGAATTGGCTGTGGTTTTTTAATCAGGATATCATTGATATCATCCACATACCCAAACGATTGGCATAAATCCCCTAAATGACGTCCACCAGAGGGTCTCAGTTGAAATTCTCACCCAAGTGGCAGCCAGGATGTGAGCTGCCATGACCTCCACTTGTTGCATGTGTTGCCTGAGGCTCCAGGTCCAATCTTAGCTCACCGCATCAAGCCAGGCTTGGCAGCCTGATCAATGCCAAGTACGCAAAGCACCTGGCCGGGTTGCATGCAGCAACCAAGTAAGCCAGTTCGCCTCACGGGGCGCATAGCTCAGGCCATGTGGGGGTTGCAGGACATTGTGCAGCATGTTCTGGATTAACACTCGAGCAACCAGAGATCAGAAGCTTGCTGCCGAACATGCACTGCAATCCTGGCAGACGTTAATTTCTGCGCGACCCATTTGGGTTTGAAGGCTTGAGCTTGGCTTGAGCCCGTCACATCAGTGCACTGTTTGTTTTCGCGCAAGGTCAGCAATGCCGAAGTGGCCCGAGCTCTGAAGTTGTAGCCTGCCGCGACAGCATGGTCGCTTTCTTTCAAGGGCCAAGCCTTTGTCAATTGAAAAGCCAGGCTGACGCGTGGACCGTGTGCAAGAGATTGCCCGCCTGTGAGCTGCGAGCTTGAATATGCGCCGGCAGTCTTGGCCATGATGTTTTAGAGGTGTTCGGCTTGCGACATGCGTCCGCTGCCTCTCAGATTCCAAGATTCGGTCTGAGCACGTGGCATGTGCCTGTCGCGCCATTGCCAGTGATTAGCTAACGTCCTCCTCACGCAAAGCGCGAGAGAGGAAGCTGGAGAACGCAGATGCCAGATACCAGAAGCGAGTTGCTAGATACGGATGCAGAGTCATGGTGAACTAAAGGTACGGAGGAATGCGGTCGACTCCACATGCAGGAATTTGAAGCGACATTCTGAAGGAAACCGCACGGCGCACAGTGTGCCAATGTGAGACAGTGTCAAAATTGTCATGAGGCAGATTGAAATGAGCGCATCATGTTTGCAGTCTCCTTGGCAGTTTGCATGCACACGATGGAGAACTCACACGCACACACACACACACAATGATACTCTTGCACACGAGCATTGCAAAATACAAATCCAGAAAATGATAGGGATCACAGACACAAACAAGAAGCATGACATGAATGCAATTGTTAGTGCCATTTTGACCGTGGCTCCTGTGCCGCTGCCCTCTTGCAAGGCCACGACAAAAAGGCTTTCCGTGAATTGTTTGATTGAGAGTCCGGGCTCAGCTCCTCAATGCCTCAGGGCTTTGACTGGCTCTCCCGAGCTCACTATGTTCAAGCATCTCACATTCCCAGATCCAAGACTGAGAGCCTGAGCTCCTTGCTGGTGCACCTCTGAAAGACAGGCCTGCGGCGCCTGCGCCCTCTTCCCACCGCATTCTCTTTCGTGATGTGAGCTCGGACTTCTCTTCAGGCGATCAAGTTGCCTACGACCGATCAAGTATCAGCCGCAATTGCCATTGCTTTCTGTTTGCCATGTGACCACGGGGTACCATGGAGTCTGATCATGGCAGCTGCTTGGCCACTCGTTCTTCATTCTCGTGGGAGCATGTGGCCTGTGCGAGGTACGGCCAGAAACCTTAAAGGACATTAACAAGCAAATCGTAACTGGCAGGGCAGGTGGTGCTGTTGGGACAAAGCCTTTCGGAAGAGGCCCACGCAAGTCTTGGCAAGGTTTTGTGTGCACTGGCCTGAGACTGGCTTGAACTGGGCCATGAGAACGCTGCTCGTTCCTTACTAGCACCCTGCTGCTGTGCAGAATCTCTTCAACTGCAGAGCTGACTGGCTGACAGAGCCATGAGGGCAAGAATGTCTTGAGCTACAAACAGTCCTCACTTTGCAAAGGCTTGAGGCGTGGGGTTCAGGGGCAAGCGCAATCTTGACGAGCCAGCGTGGCCAAGTCACAAAGCACATGAGCCGCATATGTTTCCACCCTGTTCTTCCTTGTGAAGACGATGTCGCTCATGTTTCCTCCTAGCAGCTGCGAGCTTATCCAAGAGACGCGCCACGCGCTATTCCGCAGGTTAGGTTACCATCCATGTCATTGCAGTCCGTCGTGGCTCCGAGGTTTCGAGCCACCGCCATAGCCTGCGTGCGAACAAGTGGCTTTGCCGTGGGTCGTTTGCTCCAGAAGTGTACAGCTCTTGTTCTTAAAAACTTCCGATGCTGGCGCAGGCAGCTCGCGTTTAGAAGCAGCTCACTCCATGTGAGGATGTCACGCCCACGCTTCGCACTCCCAACACTGGAAATCCCGGGTCACGACTCATCCGTTTGCAAGCAGCTCAGCCCCAAGTGCCTTCTTCAGGGCAGGCCGAGGAGCTATGTGGGGTTGTTCTAACAGACATGGGCAACTATGTAAAGCATGTTTGTGCAGGGTCCACCGTGAGAATGACCTGAGCGCCAAGGGGCTTGCAATTTGAGCGCGAAGGGTTGTAAACGCAAGGATGCGACGAATGCTTTGTTCAACATGGTGTTCTCTCGTGAAGTGAGGCATGAGGTCCGCGAAAGGTGTCAAAAGCTGGCGATTGGGCGAATTCACATTGGCATGTGTTTGAACCGTAGAAAACACAACTTCAATGCATCATTAATTTCCTGGTGCGCGATTCGCACGGCCCGGAGGTGCCGGTCATTGCCACTCAGATCGCGGCACCGAAACCATGCATCTTGCCACTTTGAGGGCCATTTTGATGCCTTGGAGCAGCATGGGTGCATAGCGAGCAGAGACTAGCAGTACTTTGCTGGTACTGGCCTAGAGTGACCAATGCTGGTGGCACATCCGGATTTCAGGTCATTTCTGCACAAGAAGTACTTGTGCAAGACATGGTTTCTCGACGTTCCAGATTGCGTTTTCGAAAAGTCCCGGCGCGGAAGAATCCGGGCACCGACTAAACCTTTCAGGCCACGTCAAAGTGTACACATCATCTAGATGACTATGTGTATCGCGAAACCGCGCAACGTTCAGTCGCAGGAACTTCTGAATTCGTCAATCAGCTCAACCTGTGCTCGACGCAGCTGAGATTCTAGATAGAAGTGTTTGCTCAAATTGGCAGAGCCTGGGCACCTGCTTGCTCAAGGTCCAATGGTACAAGCAAAAAGCAAAGTTGTCGCCCCCTTCTGCGAGGTCTTTGTTTCAGCTTAGCAGTGACAACCCCCGCGCAGATGCCAAAAGCGGAAGTGTGGACGTCACTTGAGGTGCACAAGGTAGATGTTAATGGGCTGCACGGAATTCAGCGAATGGAGGGCATCAGGTTTGCGCCACAGGTTTACGTTCCGCCGGCAATGCTGCATGCCTCGATTTGTTCCATGCCCGGAAAGGCGCCTCTGCACTTGGCTGGTTTTTGGTGTCACCTCTAAGATCCCATCAACGGAGCTTCTTCAGACACCCCATGCAAAATGCCAATGAACGTGTTCGCAGTATACGGCTGAGGGCCAGCCGCAACAAATCCATGTTGCAGGTGAATGACAGTTGGCAGACGTATCTGCGGACATTTAGAATGAAGAGGCCAAACTGAATTAGACAATCGGTTTTGCGCAGCCTGGGCAAAATTTCACAAGGTCCGACATTATTGAACAAACATGTGCCAATCAAATTGTGCTTGAAAACATGGAGTATGCCGAATTCTGTGGTGTTGTGAAAGGCGTGCTCCTTGTGGGTGCATGAGTTTGTAGCAGCAGACAAGCAGCAAAGCAGCCACGCTTTTTGCCCACTCAGAATCGCCTTGCGCGATCATCTCCCTAACTTTCCCAGAGGAGGGTTTGTAGATTCGTTCTGAAAGCGGTCGGCCGACTCGCGTGGCACAGTGGTGCATGAGGCCATGCCGAAATCGTG